CAGAGTGAGTTCCAGGAAAGGCGCAAAACTACACAGAGAAACCCTGTCTCGAAAAACCAAAAAAAAAAAAAAAAAAAAAAAAAAAAAAAAAAAAAGATGGTACATGCTGAAGCCTCTTCTCACCTACTGAGTTGAAGGTGAACCAAGAGTTCACTCTCCATTCATGTATTTTACTATCAAAGGATGGTAGCTGCAACTGTTCCAGGCAGAAAGCAGCTCAAAAGCAGAGAAACTAACAAAGCAAGTTAGTGTGGAGAATGTGAGGTTTCAGAGCATGAACTGGCACTGTTGGGCAACAGGCCCCAGACCTTAGCACACTGACACCATGATAGACGTACCATTCAGGCCTTGGAACCCAGCTCCTAGTCAGCAACATCTGCCAAAATGAGAACCAAGACCTAATCCATCAAAGCTCATAGTTCTGGAAAAGTCCCTAAATGAGGTGTGTCAACACAGGATGTGATTTTTGTGCTTAAAATCCCACCCTGAGAATGGCTAGGGACTGCACTTGGGTCCTGAACACACAGTGTAGTCACCAGTCAGCTAATAAAGACTTTTTACTGCCTTGAATCTGTGTCTGAGTGGTATTCTCTGGTGGACACCTCACAAGAGCTCCTCACCCAGCGACCCTCTTAATGAACATGTTACTTGGGAGTCACGGCAGGCTTAGATGACACCATTACAGAGCTGACAGACATCTCCCCTATCAGAAAGCACTGGTTTGAGAAGTCCAGACCTCTGCACCCTCCAAAATATATTCCTGTCTCCAAGCCTCGGGGCTATGGGAAAACACTTATCACCATGGCTACAGAAAAAGCAGCAGTCTGTCTGTCCTCTCAATCTTCAGTCTTCAACACTGGTGAGTGGTATGAAGACTCTCCAAAACTGGCTGCTGTTGTTTCTGTCTTGACACAAAGCCAGAGCCTTCTAACATCTTATAAAGACTCCTTTCTACAAAGCTTTCAAGTTCTGACCACGAAGCTACAGCTGTGAGGAAAGCTCAGTTTATGAGTCCCTGGGATTGAACTAGATACTGATCACAGCTGCTAAGTCCCAGTGATGGCCCCCTCACTAGACTAGAATGAGAAGAATGCCTGGAAGATTTCCCTTCAAGCAGGCTGCTCTAAAACAAAGAGACACAATCTCGAATCTCATCTTAAACAATGAAGATGTGGTGAGGTGTGTAGACCTGCTAGTAGTTGCCCTGGAAACTGTTGGGTTTCCAGGAAGTGACCTAAAAAAAAAAAAAAAAAAAAAAATGCTAGGCCTGGCCTGGTGGTACATATCTTTAATCCCAACACTCAGGAAGACAGAGGTAGGCAGATTCTTTGGATTCAAGTCCAGTCTGGTCTACATAGCAAATTCCAGAATAGCCAGGACTACATAGAGAGACCCTGTCTCAAAAATAAATCAAATAAAACTCTAACAACAGAAAAAGAAATGTGAGATGCTACCTCCTCTGTGTGTGTGTGTGTGTGTGTGTGATGCTAATTCTATACCATGAGAAATTCAAGAAGATGAAATAAAAATCTAGCCTGTGCAACAGTGGTTTTGCGCCCCACAACTGCAAGGTGAAGGATTCAGAAAGTTTTAACTCGTGTTTAGAGGAAGAGTAAAGATCCTTTACGTGGTTCAGTGATCTAGTTTGCTGGGGAAGCTTTTCTGTCAGTGGGAGGGGAGTAGACCAAGTGTTCTTAAAACACACAAAGCCATTCAAGGCCAGCCTGGCCTATAGAGTGAGTTCCAGGACAGCCAGAAGTACAGAGAGAAGCCTTGTCTTGAAAAACAACACAATGGCTGGAGAGATGGTTTAGAGGTTGAAGTTAAGAGCATTGGCTGCTCTTCCGGAGGACCTGGGTTCAACTCCCAGCACCTACATAGCAGCTCACAACTGTCTGTAGCTCCAGTTTCAAAGGACCCGAAACTTCCCAGGGCAAAACACTAATGAACATAATTTTTTTTTAAAAATTAGGGAAAAAAACCCAAAAAACAAAAGCTATCTGTATATTATTTCTCCTACAGTTGTACATAAAATGTTTTTACATTAAAAAAAGGACAAATACTATAGAATTGTATTACATGGAATGTATAGAATATACAAATTCATAGAGACAGAAAGATTAAACGTTATCTCAAGATGGAGAAGAAAGGAATATAGAGCAATGATTTCCTAAGTAAAGAATCTCTGTTTTGTGTGATGGAAAAGCCCCACAAATGGACAGTAGTATCAGGACATAATATCATGTATGTAATAAATCAATACAATTAATGTAATTAATGAATATCATAAATACAGTTATTGAATGAAAAAAAAGAGGCTGGAGAGATGGCTCAGTGTTTACGAGCACTTCCTACTCTTAAAGAGGACACCAGTGTTGGGGTCCCAGCACCCACTTTGTGGGGTGGGGGATGTTTCACAATGGTCTGTAACTCCACAAAGGTCTGAAGCCTTTTGAAGGAACAAGGCATGTGCTCACAGAGTTGTATAAAATGAAAATAAATCTACATTGGGCATGGTTGCCTATGCCTTTAATCCAGCCCAGACACAGAGCTCAGTGAGTTCCTGGCAAGCCTGGATGGTAAGAAAGAGAGAAAGCCAGGAGTGGTAACCCATGCCTATAATCCTGTCACTGCAGAGGAAGAGACAGCTGGATCTCTGTGAGTTTCATGCCACTCCAGTCTACAAAGAGAAGTCCATCGTTATCTCAAGATGGAAAAGAAAGCAATGATTTCCTAAGTACAGAGTTTCTGTTTTGTGTGACAGAAAAGCCCCACAAACAGACAGTAGTATCAGGACATAATATCATGAATGTAATAAATCAATACAATTAATGTAATTAATGAATATCATAAATATAGTTATTGAATAAATACTGTGAATGTAATTAATGAATACCACAAATGTAATTAATATCATGAGTGTAATTAATGAATATCATGAGTGTAATTAATATCTTGAATGTAATTCATGCCACTGAATTATGAACTTAAAAATGGTTACATTGGGAGGTGGAAGGAGGGAGGACAGGGGAATCCGTGGCTGATATGTGAAATTAAGTTAATTATAAAATAAAAATACTATTAAAAAAACTATACAGAGGGGAAAAAAATGGTTACAAAAAATTCAAAGTCAACAAAGCACCACACAGGATCTCTGTGTATTTCCCATCTTTATGTGGCTTATTTTTTTATATTACTTTACTCTTTCTTTAAAGACTTTACTTATTTTTAAACTATTTTTTCCTATGACTGTCTATAACCATTTTCTTAAGCACCTATTCACACTGTAACCTGTTTAAAAGTTTTTTTTTTAATTTTTTGAATGATGATGATGGAACAGCAGCTGCTGAAAGACATGAGATTGTAAAAGGAACTGCTGAATTAAACCAGCCTGGATACTTTAGGGATGTCTTACCTATAAAATGGAATTCAGAAAATGTATTGAGTTGAGCGAGAGGTTATGTTTTTGTTTCTACAGAAAATGAAAGGCTGTGGATTCCTTCAGAATTAATAGAGACCAGATTTGATTGGGGAAGACACCTTGAAAATCTTGGCTACAGATAATAAACCTAGAAAAACTACAAGACAGTTGGCGAGGTGAAAAGTGGCAGTGGCTTGTTCCTTAGTCTCTCTGATCTTTCAGCATTTACCTCAATATCTGGCCCCAGGATTTTGTTAAAAGACCAATTTTGATCCTGAAAGGGGGATGTCTTTTGCCTCTCCCCTTGCTAGTATATAAAAAGCCCATTAGGAATAAACTCAAGGCAACTGGGTATTGACCCAGGGCCCTCCCAAAGCTATCCTGCGTCTCTTTTTCTTCATCTGTATCTATATTTTTTCCTATCTAGCATTTCTCAATTCTTCACTACCCGCTCCAAGGATGTTTGATAGGTCAGAGATGGACCCTGACATCAAACCCACATGATGAGAGGTAGCCTCTGACCTCCATTAGCATATATGTGTGTTCATTTGTAAGTGTCCTAGCACACACACACACATACACACACAAATGTTAAAAAAAAAAGCAAGTTGTAATCTGCAGTGAGATTTCACTAACACTCCAGCAGGAGTCCTGAGATGTAACAGATTCTTAAGTACATTTCCATTTCCTATAATCCCAATTTTTCTGGACTGAAATAACTAATTATAGAATAAAAGGTAAAAAAAAATACTTAGTCTAGGTAGATAATAAATGATGCCAGAAAAATTAATATATATGGCTACATAAAAATGGTTGTAGCTGGTGCAGTGGTACACCCCTTTAATCTGAGCACTTGGGGGCAGAAGCAGGCAGATCTCTGTGAGTTCAAAGCCAGCCTGGTCTGCATAATGAGTTCTAGGACAGCCAGGACTACATAGTGAGTCCCTGTCTCAAAAAAGCAAAAAAACAAAAAACAAAAAAAAAACACCAAAAAAAGGATGTGTTAATAACTACAATTTTGCAATATAACCAGGAAGTAAGATTTGTGGGGAGGAGCTCTGGAGAGATGACTCAGCAGTTAAGAGTATTAGCTGCTCTTGTAGTGGACCTGGTTTCAGTTCTCATCATTCCAGAATGGCTAACAACCATCCATAATTTTAACTCTAGGGGATCCAACATCCTCTTGTGACTTCCACTGATACAAGGCATGCATGGGTGCACATGCAAGCAAAACATGCATACACGTTTAAAAAAAACTAAAACTAAACTTAAAAGTGAAAAGAAAAAAGGGAGAAGGGGAGATGGCTCAGTTGAGGACTTGAGTTCAATCCCTGTGTCAGTGTGAAAGAATACCAGTGTGGTGGGTGTGGTCACGCCTTTAATCCCAGGGGGGCACCCTGATTTACACAGTCCGTTCAAAGACAGCCAGGGCTACACAGTGAAACCTTGTCTCAGGAAAAAAAATCAATAATAATAAATAAAATAATGGCATACAAAGGTGCAGTAATTGTTACCGTTTTGAAACATCACAGTCAGCAACCACATCCCCCCACCACACACACACCTCCACGTTACTTACTCAGTGTGTTGTGGTCGGTGTGAACACCTTGAATAACAGATGTTCTAAGTAACAGTTCAACATCGGAACCTAGTTTCATCATCTGTGAAGAAAATCAGAGTAACCCCTTGAGTAATGTGTAGCACTGGCTTTGAAAAGCACAGTTTTACAGGTCACTTTCAGATAATGAGGCTTTTAGCTTTGTGAAACTGTATGTAGTACAGAAGTTGCAAACATTTCAGATGCCCTTCATTTTTATTATAATCCCATATTTTGTTCAAACAGATTTAAAATTTTTGTTATAATATGCATTTTAAAATGTGTTGAGGGCTGGGCATGGTAGAGCATGCCTTTAATCGGAGCACTTTGGAGGCAGAGGCTGGCCTAGTCTACATAGTGAGTTCTAGAACAATAAAGCTAAATAGTGAGACCCTGTCTCGAAAAAAATAAAACAAATAAAAAAGTATTTTTACCTAATTTTTTATTCATTTGTATAATTGCTATTAAATATGGGAGACATTTTCTTATTTGTATTTTCTCGTTTGCTAATCAATTCTTTATACTCTAGGTATCCCCACAAAGAACTGTCTTACTTTTTTAAGGCAGCACCTCAGTATGTAGCCCAGGCTGGCACTGGACTCGGGATCTTCCGCTTCAGCCTCTTGAGCACTAGAGTGGCAGGGCCCAGCCCACCATGCCCAGCTCTGCTCTGTACTGCTTTCCTTCCTACGGGGCGTCCCCACCTACAGCTCCCTCTGAAGTGCGGGCGTCACGAGACCGCTTGTTCCTCAGCTTCAGTCACTTGACTCAAGTGAAGAAAGACTGCTATGGCTTCTGCCATGGTTCAGCTGCCCTGGTCTTGACCCAGGGCCTTGTTATCTTTGGGGACAGGAGATAATCCTGAGGAGAGCCACGGTAAACAAGTGCAGGTTGTCTACAGCTGTGGAGGCTCTCCCTCCCTCCTTCCCACAGCCCTCCACTCCCACCGTCCATCCTCTCTTTCCCACAGACATTCACACCAGCTTTATGTAATCGCCACCTCTCACTGCACCTCTGCTATTTTCTCCGGAGAGGCCTCACTTTTATTTTTTTTGAATTCTTCGTTTATCTTTACTCTGGCTGCTAGAGAGAGAGAGAAAAAAACACATGTAATTAATACTTAGGATTCTTACATGTTATTCAGCATTACTCATTATGAATTTCTACTTCTCACATAAAACTGAGCATGAGAAATGTGTTCTGTGCCAAGCATGGTATTACACACCGTAACAGCAGCACTTAGGAGGATGAGGCAGGAGGATTTTGAGTTTGAGGCCAGCTTGGGCTATGTGGTGAGGCTTTTTTTTTTTTTTAAACACAGGGTATCTCTACATAACTCTGGCTGTCCTGGAATCTCAGGGTCTCTCTACATAGCTCTGGCTGTCCTGGAATTCATTATATAGACGAGGCTGGCCTGGAACCCACAGAGATCCTCCAGCCTTTAAGGCCACCATGCCTGGCTTCTTTTCCACTTCATGTGTGTATCTCTAGAACTATTGGATTCTAATAGGTCCAAATCCAAGTATGTTTTTTCTCTATATCTAAACATTTAAAGTAATGCCTTGTTTTATTTTGTTTTGAGATAGGGTCTCAATGGAAAGCCCAGGCTATTCTTGAACCTGTGAGTCCTCTGCCTCAGCCTCCAGAGTGCTGCGGTTACATGCATGTGCCACCACACTCATCTGAAATGCTTTATGAAGATGGTAAGAACCAGTGCAAACAACATGTAACCTATACCCGCACAGAGATGCTTCAGCAGAGGATCTGATCCTGAGCACCTTCGCGCATGTAAAAGTGAATGATGAAAGTAAAGTTGCTAGGTGTGGTAGCGCATGCCTTTAACTAAGAACTGGGGGGCGGGGCAGAGGCAAGAGGTGCTCTGTGAGTTTGAGGCCAGCCGGCTCTCTCTATACGGCAAGTTCTAGGACAGGTAGGACTATAAAGTGGACTGTGTCTCAAACAACAACAACAACAATCAAAAAACGTTTAGGCTCACATATACCATTTACATTACAGCAGCTTAATCTATTCTAATTGGCCTTGCTGTGTTATGAGCATTTAATGGAACAATCTGTATGAAGTCCTTAGAAAATATCAACAAATGCTGACGAAAGCAACCAAATATACCATGCTGACAGAACAAAGTAGCCATGGAAGCCTCCTTCAGCGCTCATCTTCCTCAGTGTGTAAGGTGGTTAAGAGTCTGGCCCGAGTGGAGGCTGGAGAGGTGGCTCAGTGGTAGCTCCAGGGAATCCATCACCCTCTTCCGGCTTCCCAGGACACCAAACACCCAAGTGGTGCACAGATATACATGGAGGCAAAATACCCATCCTCATAAAGTAATAAAAATAAACTTTTTTTTTTAAAAAAAAAAAAAGTCTGGCTTTTGGAATCAGGTTGCTTAAGATATTCCTCAGTTCTACTGTTGGCTAATGACATGCAGGAAATCTTTTTCATATTTTGTCAGTTTTCTCATCTGCAAAAATTTGAGTTATAGTGTAATTACCTCACAGAGCTGAGAACTGTTAGAAATTTGTGTAAAGCACATAAAACGATGTATTTCTAAAACTAGGGGCTGGAGAGATAGCTCAGCAGTTAAGAGCATGTCCTACTCACCTGAATGTGGTCCCCAGCACCCACATCAGGTGACTCACAACTGCCTGTGCCTCCAGCGTCCAGGGGTCCTATACAGCTGGCTTCTGTGGGCACCTGCACTTACGTGCATAGCACACACACACAATTGAAAATAATAAAAGTCGATATTAAAAAGAAATGACCAAATTTGATTTCCTGGGAATGCTTTTTGCCTAGTGCACTCTTTTTTTTTTTTTTTTTTTTTTTTTTTTTGGTTTTTCGAGACAGGGTTTCTCTGTGTAGCTTTGCGCCTTTCCTGGATCTCGCGCTGTAGACCAGGCTGGCCTCGAACTCACAGAGATCCGCCTGCCTCTGCCTCCCGAGTGCTGGGATTAAAGGCGTGCGCCACCACCGCCCGGCGCCTAGTGCACTCTTAGGGAGGTTTGGAAATGGATGGTGAGTAGAAATCAGACCGATACAGAGCCTGAGGTCTCGAGCTGTGACTTCCAAGTCAGTCTGAAAACATTTCAGAGATGCTCAGTCTGGACTCATGTGGCCAGATTCGATCTCACAGCTGCAGAGACTGCTACACTTACTCAGGTGTTAACAACACGGTAGCACCTGGTTATAGTGTGAGAAAATTGAGTTATGCCTAGGGAAATGGGATTAAGAGAGAACCTTGAATCTCACCTGCCCCTTCCTTTTAGATGATTCTATATGAAAACTGGGTCTTTATAAGAATTAGGTATTCTTCCACAGGTATAATGTGGACAGGTCTTTATAGAACATCAGGGAGAGATGGTAAAGGTCATTCCACACAGTCAGAAGAGAAGGGCAGCCAGCTAAAGAATGGATGTGCACCAGGAGTGGCGGCACACACCTCAGGCAGGAAGATCAGGAGTTCAAGGTCACCCTCCAAGTACCTTCAAAGCCAACCTGGGATATTTAACATCCTGGCTCAGGTCAGCAACCTAGCTCAAAGGCAGAGTGCTTTGCCTCAATGTGTGGGGCTCCAAATTCAATTCCTAGCACCTAGGAGAAAAAAAAAGCATGGATTTGTGCTAAAGGAGTGAAAGATGTATTTACCTTCTAATGCTCTCTTATCATTTTTAAAAACTTGCTGTCTGGTCCTGTGCAGTGTTCTAAAGAGCTGTAAAACCTATGGAGGAAAAGCAGAATTCAGGACTGAGAAGATGGCTCAGTGGATAAAGCACGTGCTACAGGGTCCTGAGGAACTGAGTTCAAATCCTTGGAATCCACATAAAAACAAACATGATAGCACACATCTGTAATCCCTGGATGCCTGTGGAAAGATGACAGCAGAGAGACAGGAGAATCCCAGAAGCTCAAGGGATTCTTGGACTACCTTGACATATGCAAAGAGTCCCTGCCTCAAACAAGGTAGAAGGCAAGGACCAACATCTGAGGTTTTCCTCTGACCACGCACACGCTACTCATACATATATCACACACAAAAATAAATAAATAAAATATAAAAACAGTAAGATTTTATGCTTAAGAAAAAAATCACACCCAGGTGGCAGTGGTGAATGTCTTTAATCCTAACACTCAGAGGCAGAGGCAGGCAGATCTCTGAGTTGGAGGCCAGCCTGGTCTACAGAGTGAGTTCCAGGATAGTCAGGACTACACAGAGAAACTCTGTCTCAAAAAAAAAAGGGGGGGGGGGGAGCTGGAGAGATGGCTCAGAGGTTAAGAGCACTGAATGCTCTTCCAGAGGTCCTGAGTTCAATTTCCAGCAACCACAGGGTGGCTCACAACCATCTGTAATGAGATCTGGTGCCCTCTTCTGGCCTGCAGGCAGACATGCTGTATACATAATAGATAAATAAATCTTTAAAAAAAAAAAAAAGGAAAAGAAAAAAATCACATTTTACATAACATTTAGAATTATTGTATTAGAAGGATTAAACAGTATTTGTTTTCTATTTGTTTCTAAAAGTTACTTTTCAGAATAGCTGGTAAAAGCAAGAACTTGCAAAGTAACTTCTTAGTTGCTATTTCTCTTTAAGTCCAAGAACAAAACAAGGTTGGGCTGTTAAACAGAGAAACCTTGCTCAAAAAACCAACACCCACCGCACCCCCGCGCCCCCACAAAAAGCCAAAACCAAACCAAACAAACAAAAACAACGGGGAACTGGGGAGATGGCTCCGTGGTTAGGAGGATATACTGTACTTCCAGAGGACCTCGGTTTGCTTCCCAGCGCCCACATCACGTGGCTCACAACCACCTGTAAGTCCTCCGGCCTCTGCAAGCATCTGCACTTGTACACACATACCCCCCCCCACACACACACACACACACGCACACAGACACATAATTTAAAAAGAAGTAACAGTTGGGGGTACAACTCAGTGGTAGAGTGTGCAACTTAGCACAGATAAGGCCCTAGGCTCTTGGGCTCCATCTAGCACCAAAACATTAAAAAAACTGTATTTACAAAATTTCTGAGTTCTATGAAACAAACAGTAGTGGGGGGGGAAGAAAAATAAAAAATAAAACAAACAAGAAACTAATCTTCTAAGCCAAGGGTGGTGGCTCATATCTGTAAACTGGCACTTGGGCAGGGAAGGCAGGAGAATCAGCTCAATGTCAGATTCTGCTATGTGGTGAGTTCAAGGCCAACATGAGCCTGTTTCAACAACTCCCTCAAAACAAAACAAAAGCCTTAATAATGATCCTGACAAAAAGCTAGTGTACTAAGGTAATAAATTCTGCCAGTTTGCAGCTTTCTTTTTTTTTTTTTTTTTTTTTTTTTTTTGGTTTTTCGAGACAGGGTTTCTCTGTGTAGCTTTGCGCCTTTCCTGGAACTCACTTGGTAGTCCAGGCTGGCCTCGAACTCACAGAGATCTGCCTGGCTCTGCCTCCCGAGTGCTGGGATTAAAGGCGTGCGCCACCACCGCCCAGCGTTTGTAGCTTTCTTAACCTACACCTTTCATCTACTCTTGAATCATGCTATCATACTCATCTATCCTATGAGCCCAGGAAGGTGTTGCAGATAACTTAGGGAAGGCTAACTGCAATTTCTGAAGTGAAAAGTGGAAGGAACGCTGAGACTTCTCAACACCCCGAGTCTGTGGGGACCAGTAGGTGAGTGAATTCGAGCCTGGCCTTTGGGTAATATATGAAATTGGAAAGGAACAGTGGTGGGCATAGGTGAGAAAGAGGAGGGAATGGGGATGAACTTAAGACACATACGCGTGTATGAAGTCTCAAAAACAAAAAAGGGGGCTGGAGATGGCACAGAGGTTAAGAGCACTGGCGGCTCCTCCAGAGGACCCGGGTTCAATCCCCAGCCCCCACCCACATGGAAGCTCACAATTCCAGGTGATCTGACATCCTCACACAGACATACATGCAGGCAAAACACCCATGTGCATTAAGTAAAAAAATTAAAAACAAAATAATAAAATGGAAAACCAAGCTTAGATTTAGGGCTGGGGAGATGGCTCAGTGATTAAAATGCTGATTCTGCAAGGGTGAAGACCAGAGTTTGGACCCCCAGAACCCACCAAAATGCAAGGTAGACGTGTATTTCCAGCCTCGGGAGGCAGAGAGAGGATGCCCAGAGCAACTGGCTAGCAAGACTACATACTCATATTGGGGAGGTCTGGGTAGAAGAGCGATAGAAGTATTCATACAAGCATGCATGTACTCACCAGTACACATATGAAAATGGAAAAAAAAATTAGGATTTACTGATGAGCATTTCAGATTTAGGGGTTTTTTTTGTTTTTGTTTTTGTTTTATGCTTGGCCTGTACTTTAAGACAATCACAGGAAATGAATGAACTTGTTATGGAGGAATGGGGAACAATAAACAACCTAAAAATGTGGGGCTTGGAATTGAGTAATGTGTACAGAAAGGATTTTTCTGAAGTGCTTGACAATAAAAGCTGATTGCCTGACAGAGGTTATTAATAGGAATATGGATTTTAAAGGCACCACAGTGGGCTGTGTTTAGCATGTAGTGGGCCCTGGGCTAACTTCTCAGCACTAGAAAATAAAATATAAATTAAGTAAAAAGTAAAGAGAGGCCGGGCAGTGGTGGCACACACCTTTAATCCCAGCACTCGGAAGGCAGAGCCAGGCAGATCTCTGGGAGTTCGAGGCCAGCCTGGTCTACAGAGGGAGTTCCAGGACAAGTACCAAAACTACACAGAGAAACCCTGTCTCGAAAAACCAAAAAAAAAAAAAAAAAAAAAAAGTAAAGAGAGACAGACACACACAAACAAGACTAGGTGTCTAGGTATATACCTGTAGTCCCAGGATCTTGGGAAGTAAAGAAGAGAGATTGTTGGATCCCAAAGTTTAAGACCATAGTCTCAAACCAAACAGTAATCTCAGTAATTTTATGTAGTACTTAAGGGATGGGGGAGTGTCCATCAATACAAAAACAACACCATTAGTTTGAAACCATTATCCTAATAAAAATAAAATGGGCGCTGGAGAAATGGCTCTGGGGTTAAAAGCACTAGCTGCTCTTACAGAGGACCCAGCCAGGTTCTTCACCCACATGGAAGCTGACAACCACCTGTTACTTCAGTTCCAGGGAATCTGAAGACCTCTTCTGGCCTCTGTGGGTACCAGACATACACATGGTACACAGACACACGTGCAGGAAAAACATCCATGCAAATAAAATAATTTTAAAAATTCTTTAAAAAGAAAATGCCATCTTTATTATCACAAAGCTATTGGGACCAATATCACATTGGAACTCATAATTTTATTATTTATGTATGTTTTTATGTTATGCATTTATTATGTTAGGCATCGAACCCAGGGCCGTGACCACGCTAAGCAAGGGTTCTACTACTGAGCTAAATTCAACCACATCCCTACTAAAAAAAAAAAAAAAAAAAAAAAAAAACTTTTCAAATGCAGAAAGTAGCTGGGTGTAGTGGCTCACACCTGTAATCCCAGCATTTGGCATGAAGACTGCTGAGTTGGAAGCCAGCCTGGGCTACACAGTAAGTCTGAGGCCAGCCCCTCCTAATTCCCAATTAAATCTCAGGTCTCTGCCTATGGTTCCTTGTGATTTCATTTCCTTCCTTTTTAAATGTTGAGACAAGAACGATGTTGCCTGGGGTAGCCATGAACAAGTAGGTTCAGCAATGCTGCCTCTTCCTCTCTAGAGATTTCTGAATTCCTCTAGGTAAGTTACATCCTAGTTACAGGTTCACAAAAACGCCGTGCTTTTAGTTTGAAGTACTTGCGATTTTATTGTTTATAATCTGCCCGATATGAAGGCTAGGACGGTCAGTTTATGGTCATCACAGTTTATTCCTCCATTCACGGTTGTCACTCCCCTCACTCCCTGTCCCTCACGGCTGTCACTCTCCTGCACCCACCGCCCATCGGGGTTGTCACCCTCCCTCCCCTCCCACTGCCCTAAGGGTTTGTCATCCTCTTCCACTGACCCCTCCTCTTTCTTGGTCAGTCTCCCTCCCCACTCGCCACCCCTCAAGGCTGTCACCCTCCTCCACTCTCCACCCCTCGGGGTCGCCTCCCCTCCCCTGCCAAGGGTCCTGAGCTTCAGCCTCCCCGCACCCACCTCCCCGGCCCTGTCACCTTGGCAGTCTGACCCATGGCTCCCCACGCCGCTGCCTCCGCCTCTGGAGCCGCCCCTTCTCGGTAACCAATCAGGGCCGGGGCGTAGCCGGCAACGCTCCCGCATAGTAACCAATCAGAACGTAGCACCTCCTCCCTAGCCCGCCTCCTCCGCAGAACGAAGGCCGGGCGTTCGCTAAGTAGATTCAACTCTAAAACCGCGAGAAGCCTCGGAGCCAAATTACGGAAAGGAGAACGGAAGTAGCCGGAAGCCATGTTTGTTAGGGGTAGAGTCCCTTCCGCCTTGCAGAGCGTGGCGCGCGCACGCCGGGCTATTCGTGAATGGGTGATCTCGGCACCTGCTCTTCCCTCCTGTTTAAGGGCGTGGGTCGTCTGCTATAGTTCCTATAGTTTAACGTTTCCCAGCTGTGACTGTCTCCTTGGAAACGTGGGCAAACAAAAGCCAAGCCCTAACAAACATAGCCGGTCCGTATCAGAACGCTGACTCCTGAAAGTTCTGTTCATACATTTGCTTAATTATTCCCCTAGAAGGTGCGGCTCTGTTGCCTGCTCGTTCGCAAGCTTGATCCCAGACACTCCTCACCCTCTGCATTATCATTAGCCTACTTATCTTGCCCTGCTCTTCGGTTTTGCTGAGGTAGGAAATCGTCTATTAAAAACTTCATAGTCAACCATAAAACATTATATACATTTTAAGTTAGGACTTGCAGGCATGAATAAAATTTTCCACCTTGCTTCTATTTTCACAATCGTTTGCCTTGAACACTCCCGTAACGTTTCAGGTTACTTTTAGATAAAATTGACTGTTTATTAAGAATCAAAGATTTGAGCCGGACAGTGGTGGCGCACGCCTTTAATCTCAGCACTCACGAGACAGAGCAAGGCGGATCTCTGTGAGTTCGAGGCCAGCCTGGTCTACAGAGCGAGATTCAGGAAAGGCACCAAAGCTACAGAGAAACCCTGTCTCGAAACCTCCCCCCCCCCCAAAAAAAAATGAATCAAAGTTGTGGGTGTGAGTGTGGTGGTACATGCCTGTAAGCCCAACATACCTTTAATCCCAGCACTTGGGAGGCAAACCCAGGCGGATCTCTGAGTTTGAGGCCAGCCTGGTCTACAGAGTGAGTTCCAGGACAGCCAGAAACAAAAACAAAAAAGCATGGGCGGGTTTTGGTTGGTTTTGAGGCAGAGTCTCACTATAGCCCTGCCTGGTTTGGAGCTTGCTATATAAATCAGGCTGGTCTCAAACTCACAGAGATCTGCCTGCCTCTGCCTCCAGAGCGCTGGGATTAAAGTCATACACCACCACACCTGTAATCTTCCTCAGAAATGCCTTCTACATTGTTTGAGACCTAGAATTGACCTAGAACTCACCACTTAGGCTAGACTGGCTGGCCTGGCCTCAGAGATCTTCCTGTCTCTGCCTACCCCGTGCTAGGATTACAAATGTGTAACAGCATACCTAGCAAGTCATCATGAGAACAGCAAGATAACTGTCAACTTTTAAAATTGTTATTGATGGCTGAAGAGCTGGCACAGAAGTTAAGAGTGCTGGCTGAGGGGGCTGGAGAGATGGGTCAACGGTTATGAGCACTGGCTGCTCTTCCAGAGGACCCAGGTTCAATTCCCAGCACCCACATGGATACTCACAACTGTTGGTAACTCCTGTTCCAGAGGATCCAACATGACACCTTCACACAGACATACATTCGGGCAAAGCACTAATGTACATAAAATAGTTAAAATTAAAAAAAAAAAGTGCTGACTGCTCTTTCAGAAGACCTGGGGTCAGTTCCCAGCACCCATATGGCAGCTAACAATGGTCTGTAACTCCAGTCTCAGAGGATTCCACCCCCTCTGCAGGCCTCTAAGGACACTGCATGCAAATGGTGTAGACATACATTCAGGCAAACACCTATACACATAAAAATAAAAATCTCAAAAAAATTGTTATGGGGGTTCTAGATTTGCAGAGGAACATTTAATATAACCAATTAAATCAAGAATGCAGTGGCTATTGTCTTTTATCCAAAAAACAATAAATTAGGTGATCGGTGACATTCAATTACAGTGCCTTCTGGAGTAATCTTAAAAAAATTACACTTCAGTACTGTCTTAGTTAGGGTTTCTATTGCTGAGATGAAACACCATGACCAAACAGCAAGTTAGGGAGGAAAGGGTTTATTCGGCTTACACTTCCTCATCGCTGTTCATCACTGAAGGAACTCAGGACAGGAACTCAAACAAGATAGGATCCTGGAAGGCAGGAGCCCATGCAGAGGCCATGGAGGGAAGGTGCTTACTGTCTTGTTCCCCATGGCTTGCTTAGCCCACCTTCTTATAGAACCCAGGACCACCAGCCTAGGGATGGCACTCCCCACCATGGACTGGGCCCTCCCCCATTGATTACTAAATGAGAAAATGCCTTACAGCTGGATCTCAAGGAGGCATTTCCTCAGCTGAGGCTCCTTCCTCTAGCTTGTGCCAAGTTGACACACAAAACCACCCAGGACAAGTACTATAGCACAATTCCCTTAAAAAATATAGTTTGTAGTAATAATTTCTGGCTAGAAAGTTAGTCAAAAAACCCTTCTATGTTATTTGAAAATACAGTTCCTGTGGCTGGAGAGAAGGCTCAGTGCTGAATAGCACTTACTGATCATGCAGAGTACGTGGGTTGAGTTCCCAGCATCTACACAGCGGCACACAACCATCTGTAACTCCAGTTCTGAGAGATTCAGTGACCTCTTCTGGCCTCCTACATACATGTGGTACCCATAAAGTCATGCAAGCATACACACATAGATATAAATAGATAAAAATTTAAAAGAAAATATAGTTCTACAAGTGCCCAAATCAGATCAGTGAGTCTTAAGCAAACATGTTACAGTTTCGTCAGCTGTTCCACAGAAGAAGTGAAATGAGATGGCTCAGCACTCTTTACTGATCTGGTTATTCTGGGGACATGTCCTGGTTTGCATCTGAACATGCAAACTGAAGAAATCCAGAATGTAAGTTCACAGAACTATGTGGCTGGCAGGATAATGCCACCACCACGCCCCCACAAAAAGATGTATGCACTCAGATGCCCAGAATTTCTCATTGGCTTACCTTGCAGGAATAAGGGTTTTTGGTAGGTGGATTAAAATAATATTCTAAGATGGGAATATTTTCGTGTATTGTCTGGTGGGCCTAATGAGTCACATTGAAAGTGGAAGAAGGAAACAGGGAAAGTTTGAAGATACTTGTCTGCTGCCTTTGGAAATGAAGAAAGAGGCCACAAAGCAAGGGAAGCATGTGGTCTCTGGAAACTGGAAAAGACAGGGAGTGGACTGCCCTCTAGAGCCTCCAGGAAGAATGCAGCTCGGCTGACAGTGGGTTTTGCTCAGTGGAAACAAATTTGACTGAGGACATCCAGAACGCCACCCGTCCATCATCTAAGCCAGTATCTCTTACCCTTGCTTGGTCATCACTCCTCGCTTTCAAGGGCCCAGTGGTTACACTGGCTTCACCCAAATAATCCAGGAGCCTATCTGTTGTTCGAATCTTAGATGGTCTTTTAATAAAAAACCCAGAGCCAGATATCAGGGTGAACAGATCAGAGAAACAGAATAGCCAGCCACTAGTTCTTACCTCTACAAAAGCCTCAGCCTAAAGAGAGTTGAGTTCCTGTTTCCTCACGCTTTATATACCTTTCTCTGCCCTGCGGTATTACTCCCTGGGATTAAAGGCTTGTGTGCTTCCCAAGCAAACGCATGAGATCTCAAGTGCTGGGATTAAAGGTGTGTGCCACCACTGCCCTATGTCTAATCTAGTGGCTGGCTCTGTCCTCTGATCTCCAGGCAAGTTTATTAGGGTACCCAATATATCACCACACCTATCTATTTCAGGGTCCTTAATTTAATCACAGCTGCAAAATACCCTTTACCTACTGACATGTTCATGGTATTCCCCTGGCTCCCTGCTGGGACGTGGGCATATTCTGCTTACTGCATCCACTCAAGAAGCTTGAAATGGAAGTAAATGGAGGATAAACAGTCAGGACATAATCACATAAGTTCCTAGTAGTCAAGATAAGGAGTTTGGATCTCATTCTGGGATAGAATGTTCTGGAATTGTATCAGTAGGAGAGTGACATCATGGTTTACATTTCACAAACATCATTTTGGCTGGGTGTGGAGGCAGGAAAGTCAAGAGTTCAAACTCATCCTCAGCTAAACAGCAACTTCAAGTTCTGCCTGGGCTGCATGAGATCCTGTCTCAACAAAACTACAACGTAACTGAGGAGACGACTCGGCTGGGAAAGTGTCTGCTACACAGGCATGAGGACTGAGCCCCGGCAGCATGGAAACAAACCCACTTACCTACACAGCCGCCTTCCCCGGCTCTGAACTGCTCAAGTATAAAGTGCGCTAACTGAATAATCAGTTAATCATCTGTCAGGGACAGATGGTTGCGTGTAAATTAAGTCATAGTAACTTGATTTGCAAAGAGCTGGATAGTAGGTATTTCAGCTCTGTGAACCCTGTGGTCTCTGTCACTACTGTTGAACTGTACTGCCATGGTTTAGTAGCAGCCACAGAAGACAGATAATGAATACACATGTATTTGTCCTAATAATGCTGGTGTGGGCAGGGACATTGAATTTAAGTAGCATTTACCAATTATCACGTAAGGTTTTATTAGAGTCCTATAGCAAAGTCTGGTGAATGTAGTTTACAATAACCTATCTTCTGTCTAATGAATGACTACAAGAAAACAGTTCATAACTTCCAAAACAATGTAAAGATAAAAGAATGCTGACTAATCTTTTTAAACCAGTATATACTATATACACAATTTGAAATATCAATTATTTTATAAATATGTACAGCTTGTATGTGTTAATTGAATTTTATTTTTATTATTTATTTTTTTTTTCAAGACAGGGTTTCTCTGTGAAATAGTCCTGGTTGTAACTTACCAGGCTGGCCTCAAACTCACAGAGATCCGCCTGCCTTTGCCTCCCAAGTGCTGGAATTAAAGGCATGTGCCACCACTGCCAGGCTGTTAATTGAATTTTTTTTTTTTTTTCCGAGACAGGGTTTCTCTGTGTAGCTTTGCGCCTCTCCTGGAACTCACTTG